ACGCATTGTATAATTCAAGGGTGGGATTTGTCAGTGGATACGATATTATACAATGTAGTTTAGATTGGAAGGTATAATATTGTATTGTATAGTAGTCCAGTTTATAGCATAGTTGTAACGCAACACAGGACAGAGCAACGCACCGTGACCGTTTCCTGCCCCCCCCTCCTCCGTTCCGAACATAGATGGACTCGTCCGTCTGAACTCAAGCTTGTCGTTCTCCGTGGTGTTAATCCCTCATACTAACATCATGCTAATCCCCCAGTTACATGCTAAATTACTGTTGATATGTAAACTGCTGCTAATCCCTCACACCAACATTATGCTAGTCCCCCAGTTACATGCCAATTTATATGTAAACTCCTCTCCCCCCTCCCCTCGTTCGTCTGAACATAGCTCGTCGCTCTCCGTGGTGCTAATCTCTCACACCAACATCATGCTAATCCCCCAGTTACATGCTAATTTATATGTAAACTCCTTTGTCAAGGCACTCTGTTCCTCCCACACAGCTTAAAAGATGCTGTCCATGCTTGGCAGTGTTCACTCAAGTGCTGTTTTCCGGACAGTGCTGTTTCTTCACCTGAGGAAGGCTACTTGTGTTGTGGCCGAAACGTCGTGAGAATTTTATTTTATTGTTTTATTTTTATTATTTTATTTCCATTCTACGTGACTTTACCGAAAGAACCAAGAAGATATATCACATCTGTTTACTTTAGCTGATTTGCAATATTAAACGGTGGCATGTGCATTACTGTACAGTACATTAATTGTATTATTGCAATAAAACAACACAGTACATGAGACCATCTCAATGGTCGAAAACCAATAAACTTCAATGACAATGGAAGTGTTCAACAAAATAATTGAAATGACAGAAAATCCAATATACAGCACAGTATAAATATGTCACATGCAGCATACATTATAGTGATATTTCTATTAATGTGCTGTATCGGCTCAAACTGGGATAACGTAATTTTATTAAAAGCAATTTAACATCATGCATCAAACTTAACAATGCCCAACAAAGGCCAATGTCATCATGTTCTCTCGTTAACCAAGTAGTTTAGGGCTGATGATCACGTGTCTCCCTAGGAAATAATTAGAGTTCAATGCATTAATTACACAATGATCATCATGTCACTAAAAGCAAACTGTTGACAAGGAAAAACAAGAATGTACGCAGACAACGTAGTGGGTAGTAAACTGTGGTTGATTGAGTTGAACAAAAATAGTTGAAGCAGGCATCACTGCTTGCGAGACTTAATACTCCACCGCACGAACCCATCGAAACTGCCAGAGGAATACTTAAAATTCAATCCACGTGAATCAGTGGAATGTAATGCAAAATACCGTATGCTAATGTGAAGTATTTAAAGTACTACGTATGTCTGTGTCCCCAGTGATGTTGAGAGACCAGGGCAGGCAAAAGGTGGCTTAATATTTTGGTGGGGCGGTGCCGACGCCGTAGCCACATGGTGGGCGGTGAGCGTGGTGATTGGCATCTTGCCCATGGTGTTATCATAGTTGTGTGCCCCCTGTTAGCTTTATTCATGCAATAATGTAGCTTAGTTTCGTTTGAATGTAACCAAATATTTGGACAGTATAGCAAAAACTCGTATTATCCCGGAGCCTATTACCCTGTTCCTGTTGTCCACAGGAGCTAAAGGGTCTGTGAAAACTGTTACTGTCAATTTTTTTTATCTCCAAGTAAGCGGAGTAAATTCGCGGATAATATCATGGATAATTGGATGTTCGTTACTCACATTACCGCAGATAAGAGGAGTTATATTGTACCACCCTTTGATGATCACCAACACCCCAGTGTTCGCATGTCGTTACAGTTCATTACTGTGTATTTATGATCAACAAATTACTATTTTATCTTAGCAGTGTATAGAAAATCTTATCAAAAAAATGTTATCATGCACATCAAAGTAATGCGTGATGTTCTGCTGACATACATTATGAGCATTACAGTATTTTACTGCCCTGTCTTTGAAATTGTAGCCTATGCACCACAATGAACTCGTTCTCAAAGGGCAAGTGGTGTTTTAAAGTAGGGCAAAGTCCAGCCAGATGGTGCTGAAGGGTCCCTATTGTATACAGTGATGTTGCCTTCATTTATACGGTGAACAGAAAAATTAAATACGATGTACAACACAGTGCAGTATTGTACTATGATACGCCCACACGATTTCTCGCTATGTAGAATCACTGACCTCATTCCATAAAATGCCAATTTAGACAGTTTTATTTCAGCAAGTATTTTTTTTATACAGTGCAGGGAACATTTGCACTGAACTTTTGTTTTCCATATTGATGTTTTACACCAGTTGTCATTAGTACAATCCCAGTTTATTTCTCCATGAGTGGTAATAGGCAATTGGCACAAGATCCGCTTCAACTCAAAGTGCAATAACTATTAGTGTAAAGTAAATCTTGACTTAAAGCTTTCGTGACTGCAGGAATTCATATTCTTGGGGTCTTACGTTTCGATCGCAACGCAAGTGGTCGTCATCTGGCTGATGTAGTTTTTTTGTTATTTTTGTTATTTTCTTTGAACCTATCTACGTGACTTTACCGAAAAACCCAAAGAATGCTGTAAAGTATTCATAATGTTTTGTTTTTAATACTTAACAATAAAACATTAAAGTAGTAGCTTTATATGCAGCGTTTAAACAATTGTAAAACCGCTGAAAAACAGTATCGGACTGGAATACTATGCGCCGTATTACTGTGCAGTATTTCTCTACTGTAAACTTCAGTAAAATGGCCCTAAGCCATGTAAACTTATACTTTATAAAGAAACAGAATTTCCTCTTTTAATTTCGAAATATTTTCACGGCTATATATTGTATTTTTCCTCGTGATGCTTTCGAAGTGCAATACTGTACGTTGCTTTCAGTATTGATTTTAAGCTTTCGTGACTGCAGGGATTCATATTCTTGGTTCTTTCGGTAAAGTCATATTCTTGGTTCTTTCTACGTGACTTTACCGAAAGAACCAAGAATAAGTATGCTTTCAGTATGTTTAGTTTTTGTACACGTGTCGGGTTCACAATGAAATGCCCTCAATGGCATATGAAGATTCTGTAGGTTACGCTTTAACAGTTCTAGACGTACATGCACCGTACTCTTTTTTTTTGGCACCAAGGGCCCCGTTTCGTGGAAGACAATTATCTCACGGACCGGGGAGGGGTAGCGTTCATCATTGGGTCTTTTCCCCTTTTCAAAGAAGCTCTCCGGCGACGTTTTATTTTTTTTTAAACTCATTTTGGCTACTAGGGGTTAGCTTGTGGGCTTACTAAAACTGTGACTGAGACGAGTGCACAGTGCGATCAAGAGGCGCGGATGGAAGTGGTCAATAATAAAGTAATGGGTGGGCCACGTGCGGACTCACCGGTCCGTGGCCCCGGGGGTTGGGGACCCCTTGATCTAACGGGAATATTTTTGCAAGGACAAACCGCAGACGTAAAGCCAAAGATGATTCATGTCGAGGAACTTACTTCGGCTATTTCACAATTCCTGTATAATCACTCGGTCTATATGTGTGGGCAGAGCTGTGCCCCCCCCGCCGCCGCCCACCCATGTAATAAACAATACTTTACTCTTTGAGATGAAGATTCAAAAGCACCACCTAGTGATACAAATGGTATAGCAACGCATTACTATTTTGACAAAATATGCATGTCCACCACCCTTGTGCCGCCTGTGAAATACATACTGCAATGTAAATACTGAAATTGATGGTGCTGAAATCCATCACTATCGATGCCACTTTTCTCCTGTTGAGAAATCTGTAAGTCTTCCAAGGCCATGGAAGAGTCCAGCATTTTGTCAGTTGCGTGAAAATAAGTCACTTCAAGACAGTGAATGAACATAATGGTTATCGCCGTCTTCCCATTTTGTCGCATATTCTTCTTCCCCCCGTCGTAATGATGACCCTGTTGTATTGCGCCTCTAAGCCCTAATCAAGCACTCTGATGACCCACGTGCCTCTCTCGCCCGTCATTACTGGGGCGTAAAGACATTCGCGGCAGGGTTCACCAAAACAACGTTAATTTGAACGCTTAGCCCACACATTACAGTGTGTTTTTTTTTAACGTCGTGCTTATTTTTTTTGTTGTATACGGAGTTAGACTGATGTCCTTAATCTTAGTTGTCTTGTGGTTAAATTTTGATTTAAAGCTTTCGTGACTGCAGTAATTCATATTCTTAGCTCTTTCGGTAAAGTCACGTTGAAGGGAAGCAATAAAATAATTAAATATATATAAAACAATATAAAACAATATTGTTTTATATACAATATTGTTTTATATATGTTATTATTTTATTGTTTCCCTTCAACGTGACTTTACCGAAAGAGCTAAGAATGTCTTGTGGTTGTTGTTATTTTGACTTGCATCCCACTGGGATTTTTTTGCACACAGCGTTGGTGTACGGTGCTATTTCAGGAATATTTTGATGTTTTTTTTCCTGGATTTTCTGTTTTGCACAGTCACACAAAGTCACTTTAAGATGTTTTATTGTTCGTGTTTTTTTATGTTTGTTGTGGTTGCACCCGACTCAAGAGCCGAATGGCTCACAGGGCTATACCAAAATACAATGAACTAAAATAAACTATGAACTATTTTAACGCGACTCTTAATTGTATCAATTAGGAATAAACTAAAGACAACAATTTTGCCGCCGAGAGGGTGAAACATTTGTGGTGGGCTGTGCACGGTGGGAATTCGGCACCGGCGAGGATTTATATATATATTTTTTTAATCTTCCATTGCCGGTCAGGTGGGAGCCCCTTAACGCTGGGGAACGAACGCGATGTTCAACAAGGTGTTCGTTTGTAACGAAAGCGTTGAATGTTACCCAGCGGTCGACGCCGGTCGTTAAACGGCGCGTTCGAATGCAAAGGCATTTATCCGAATAACATTGCAAGGGTAAAAAAATAAGACGCGGTCCTCGTTAGCTTAGCGCGGAAGTCTACCCCCCCCATCCCCCCCCCGAACACCCCCCTCGTGACCGGGCTCAGTGGTAGAGTCCGGATCAAGATGGCGGCCAGCGAGGATGTGAGTCGTCGCACGTTCTCGTGCCGTCGTAACTGCGGATGCGTTCTTGTTATCGGCGGTTTTTTTGTTGTTGTTGTTGTTGTTTTGTTTTGATCAGCCCAGCTTGGCGTTGTTGCTACTTCGCGGCTGCACGTCGATTAAACGCGGCGCTGGCTGCCGAAGGCGCCACGCGCGAGACTTGTTGTGGTCCAAGACGTGGAAGGTGGCGCCAGGCCTCCCTCTGGGCTAGGCCTCGCCAGACTGGCACTGTTAACCGAGTTACTCCTCGACGCTCGGTTCGTCGAATTCGTTTGTCGGAGGAGTATTGGTTTACGATTTTGAAAAAAAATGGCCTTAGACATTTCTTGCACCGCCGTTTAAAAAAAAAATCTGTACTTTACAAACGCTGCGAGCGAAAGCCCGCCCCGGTGTTTTGGCCTTTACGCGAAAGGCGTTTAAAATTAAATCGCCATTGAGCTGCGTGTATAAGTTCGGTATGTGCACGTGTTGTACGTTAGCGCACGTGTGGAAACATATCTTTTGATTAGCACGTTTGGCTGCGTACGTAACTTAAGAAGTTGAACATACATCCCATCATCCTACCCGGACGAGATGAGTGCTTTTTTGTTGTTGTAGAAAAGTTAATCGTTCAAAGGATATATCGGTCCCCGTCACGAGAATATGGAATGTTAACCGCAAGCCCCAGAGGCCGCCTTTTAACGTGTGCATTGCTGAACGTCCCTTTGACCATAGAGATATTCACTTTATAGTATGTAGCACTGTGTGGGCATCCTATAAAAACAACAACCGTCATCCGCCACTAAGTGGCGGGGACGTCATCACGGCGCTTGTCCCAGGCTATGTAAAATTTCAGGCCACGTGAAGTGTCGAAGGCTCGCTGGCAGAATATCTTCAGGTGCCATAGGTTGACTTGGATAACTTTATATCCTGTAGGCAGCCTGTAACCGGGTCGTAGGAATATGGGCCCTCCACCTTTGTCATGGACACGCCAATTCAGATGAACACGGCTCAATACTCATTTGAACATGGGGACATTTTTACTCATAACAGCAGCATATAGTATACATGCTCACGAATAGTGGATTGACCAACAGTTATCTTTTGAGTGTTTTTTTTATTCTAATACCAATTTACATGTTTTTATCATTTCAGGATGCAGAATTGGCAGAGTTGAGATCAGCAGTCTTGGCCTCGTTCAAATCTGTAAGCTACAAATTGGTTAACACTTTGACCAATAATGGTGTTTGCTTTAACTAGACTGTATTAAACAGTCTACTCATTTACACAAACTACAATTTCATTAACTTTATGAGGTGGCACAGTTTTAATGAGTGTTGTAGCGGATATGTTACTGAAGTTTGTGCCTTGTTTATTTCTGGTCCTTAATGAATATGAGTATTACACTCTTATGCTTACAAGACACTCAGCTAGGTTGGAAATTCAACGAATTTGTCAATACTGCCCTACATGATTCACTAAATATATTTGTTCCTATTAAGGCATTTGGTTGTCAAACCACTAGTAAAAGATTATCACAAAAACATGTTTGATTTTAATACGCAAGCTGTATCCTAGCTATAACACTAAACCAATCCAACTACTTGGAACATCAATAGTTTAAGTCCCTTAATGAGATGAAAGGCTTATAGCTCCAAATTCAGGAACACTCCATTACCTGTTACTTTTTTAAAGAATATATACTCATTCATTTGGACAACGTTTTAAAGTGCTTGCACATGACAAAGTGATCAGTTTAAATGTATTTGTTTACATTGTTAATCAGCAGCAGCCATGATCCATCGACTGCTTGATAAATGCCTCTCCGAGTCTTCACGATCTCTACATTTTTGCAATGTAACAATCCATCTAGCACCTGCACAAGAGCGGCTTTTCTTAACCCATCTCCACAGTAGATGTCCTCTCAAACATGTTTTCTACTTTGGTGATAACTAACTGCGTCATTAGGTTACCACCAAGTTCACTTCATTTAACAACTTTCAATTGTTTCCTCATCATGTGTTCCTTTTTGCCTCAGTAATTGCAAGTGCGCCCCTTTCCATGCATACTTTTCAGCTTTCGTAAAAAATTTGCTCATAAGTAATATTCACTGAATTACAAGATTTGTTTTGGAACTTCAGAATCCACTTGAGAAAGAGTTCCTGATCTATAGTGAATGAAATCGATTCTGATGTCGTTTCCGATTTAACTTCGCACCACCCCTGAGAAAAACTAACTTCTTACAAACCCGTTATTTTGTTTTAGAATGTATTCTTGCTGGATGAATACAGCATGCATAATTCAAGACTTAAGTGATAAAAACTAACTATATACAGAAACAGTACACATTAACTGAAGGTTCTGAATATGTTGTGCCTGAAGGCTATAAATACTTGAGTATAACTATATGTAAATATATTGAAAAAAATAATACAAGTATTAATCTATATAAAAGGGACATTTGTGAATGTGTGTCTGTTCGAAATGTTTAGCATACTTTTCAACATGTAACAAACTTGAAATTTGGCATGTGGGTAGCTTCCAGACTGTACACAATGCAAAAAGTATAAAAAAATACACTTTTGTATTTTGGGGGGGGGGGGGGCAATAATGCATATATTTTGCACGGCACGTGAGCGGTGACGTCACATCTGTGATGTCACCCGCATGCGGCAGCGTTATGCAGTGTGCCTGCTGACATCACGCATCTCCCCCACCCTCCGCGTAGGCCGTGTATTAATCCAAGACAAGTTTCATTTATTTGGTATAGCCCTGTGAGCCATGCGGCTCTTAAGTTGGGTGTAACCGCAACAAACAAAATATGAATCTACATTGCAGAAAACGATTACACCACAACCAGATCAAAATAAAGCTACAAAAACAATGCAACAACAGTAATCATAGGAACTGTCGCCCCCCCCCGGCTCCGTCGGCCTCCCCCCCCCCGGCTCCCCCCCCCCCCCCGGCTCCGTCGGCCCCTCCCGCTCCGTCGGACCCCCCCCTGCCCTGTCGGCTCCCCCGGCTCCGTCAGCTCTCTCCGTCGGCTCCCTCCGTCGGCTCCGGGCAAAGCCGGGTATTAAAGCTAGTCTGTATATATAAAAGGGAACTTTGTGAATGTTTTTCAGTTTCAGTTATTAAGTATAACCCTGTGAGCCCTGCGGCTCTTGACTCGGGTGCAACCACAGCAAAACAAAAACATGAATAAGAAACATCTTAAAGTGACTACACGCAACAGAAAAATCCTGGAAAAAACAGCAAAGTCTTCCAGAAAACACACCATAGTTCAACGCTGTGTGCAAAAGTCCCAGTGGGATGCAAGTCAAATAATAACAATCACAAGACAATGTAGATTAAAGTTATCAGGCTAACTCTGTACAACAACAAACAAATGTCGCTAAACCAAAACTTTTCAAAATCAAAAAGCTACAAAAACAATGTAACAGTGATCATAGGAACTGTGATTCAAATTTAACAAACGATATATATAACATGTACGACCAAACTTTGCAGCCATAGTTGGTGTGTCTGTTCGAAATGTTTAGCATGCTTCCCAACATGCAACAAACTTGAACTTTGGCATGTGGGTAGCTTCCAGACTGTACACAATGCAAAAAGTCTAAACATAGACTTTTGTATTTTGGGGGGGGAATATAATCTATTGCACGGCAAGTGAGTGGTGACGTCACATCTGTGATGGACTAAACTATTAATTTCCGTGCGAAGAATGGGTACACCTGCTAGCCAAATATATAATGGCCATTATACACAAACATAACTACTCTATTAAAAACTAAACAATTCGCACCTATAATTTTGTTTAAAACTTGATCAATAATTGGAATTCACACAATAATTTTTTTCATACCACCTCATACCAGTAATTTCTTCTTCAGCTACATATCGTAGTACAGGAAGAGCATCATGTTGATCTGCTCGGCCTTCAGTCTTGAGCGTATCTTTGAAATAAGCTCTCCAGATTTGAAGAACACTCCTCCGAATCAGCACTCATGTCACTGTTTGCTGTCAGGTCACTGTTACATAGTAGCCTTGAAGAACAGTATCACATTTCTGTCTGTGCATGGTTTCCCCTTTGTCCATTAAAAAAACATTTCTTTTCTATTAAAATGTTAAATTACATTGGTACAGTGTTAATCTTTATTTGACATTTGGTTAATTACTACTTTTAATTTTCCTCGGACGACTCGGAGAGAGACGTATACCTTCCGGGTTTGATTTATACATGCCGATTTTTATGTCGCATTGAAATTTACAAGGTTTTTTTCCACATTGGCTATGTTATGTTGTATGCAAGTTCACTTATGCATTCCGTCAACAAACGAAAAACAACTCGACACAGCTGAGATTTTTTTGAAACTACAGCTCTTGCTGTTGTCAAATTGCACTGTCCCCCGAATCCCCTGATTGACAGAGACTGGTGCCAATGATCAATCGCGCAATAGATTCGTAACATTCCTTAACAAGTAACATTTAATACCTCCGGATATTTATGGCAATTGAATAAAAGATAATTTGTTTTAATTAATAAAAAAAATTGTGTTATTTAAATTCCAAGATTTGGAATCAATCGTGGGGTTGGCGTAGATTACATTTTGTATGAAATAGAATCGATTTTGAAACTTAACGTAAACTGGATTATAAACCGATTCTTCTGTGATCGACTTGCTGGCCCTACTTCTAGTTGACCAACCACAGATTGAGATATTGCTTGACATCAAATTCAACAAAGACTGGTGTGATACATCTTAAAGTTACACTTAGGTAGATATTTTTTTAAGCTAATTACAAAGTGAAGATGGTTAACATGGAGGTAGGATTTAGCTTTTTTTAGTCTAATTCTTAACAAACAGATGGGACGGAATCACAGCCAAGTGAGGAACCATACCCAAGAGAGCATTCACTTCAAATATGGAGTGATGCAATAGAACTGACATAGTTTTGCTTGCAGAAGCCATCATCCAGCAGTGGGTAGATCATGACTGATGATATTTTGTACACTTAGTCTTAGAAACAAATGCCATGTGAATTGTGAAAAAATATGAGTAATAATGCAGTAATGTTCTAGTTAACAGACGTACTGTGTTTTGATTTAAAACTTTTGTGACTGCAGGGATTCATATTCTTGGTTCTTTCTGTAAAGTCACGTAGAAGGGAAACAAAATAACAAAAATATAAAACAATAAAATTATCACGACGTTTTGACTGCAACACAAGCAATCATCATCAGGTGTGAAAACCACAGAAGAATTCCCTCATCAAGACTCTGCACCATAGAGCCCAATGCATATCCGACCAGGAACACATAGCCAGTGAACTCAAGCACGTACACCAAGCTCTTAAGGCTAATGGTTATTCCGACTACACAATCCGCAAAGCTATCACTCCAACCATGAAGAAGGACCCTCTTGAGCCTTTCAAAAGCATCACTTTACCCTACATTGCGGGGATCACAAAAAAGGTCTTCAAAATCTTGAATAAACACAAGATCCAGGTCCGATTCAACACATTACATAAAATCCGTGATCTGGTTCCACCTGTAAAAGATGTGATTCCGGACATACAGTACCCTGGCGTCTACAAACTAAGTTGCCTCTGTAGTAGTAGTTAGATTGGAGAAACCAAACGACATGTCTCGGACCGCATTCGTGAACACAAAGCAGACCTGAAACACGGTAGGACCAACACCTCGGCCGTGACAGATCACTGTTATAATTCAGTAGGTTCACATGACATTGACTTCTCCAAGACAGAGGTTCTTTGCAAGCCATCTGGCTACCATGAGAGATTCGTTGATGAGGCTATCCACATATACAAACAGACAATTTCAACCGAGAAGATGGATTCTGGCCCAGCAATCATTGGAAGGATTTGATAAACCATTTCAGGTCTTAATTGATTGTTCACGCTTACGGTGGCTTTCAGACCGCATCCATTATTTTTCGTCTCCCCACTCTTTTCCGAACATAGATGGACTCGTCCATCTGAACAAACTGTCAAATCTCTCTCCGTGGTGCTAACGTTAAAAATAACCGCCATTTTTTTTCAAATTTTCTTGTTGTGGTTTTCACATCTGATGATGATTGCTTGTGTTGCAGTCGAAACGTCGTGATAATTGTATTGTTTTATATTTTTATTTTATTGTTTTCCTTTTACGTGACTTTACCGAAAGAACCAAGAATATAGACATACTGTACATCAGATTTCTCCTGTATAAATAAAGATTGCTGAAAATATAACAGTGCTCATTGACCATTTTAGCTTAAACAGTTTGGAAATGGTCTTCACACATTCAACATATTCGTACATTACAATTCATAATAAGCTAAAAGCAATTTTTGTGTATTTAATTTCAATGTTGAAATTGTATGTTGAAAATATACCATGATAGTAACATTTATTGGTTGACAGATTTTTTCCTCGACTCCTGCATTTCATTGCACACAGAAATTAAGATGATTTTGCATTAGCAGAATATAGTTAGTGATGAACCCTGGCAATATGGAATTCTGTGTGTTGCTCTGCTGTGTATTATTAAACATAATACAATTAAACTGTATAATTGCACATATTGCTGTTTCATTGATGGTGATTATCTAGGGCTATGTGTTATGGGTGATTATGTAACCTTTTGGGTGCATATGTAGCTGGAAGTATGAAGAGCTATCCGGATATCAGATTTTACAAATCAGTCAGAATTATTCCAAACATAGACAGCTGTAGAGATGATCAGAAAAGAGGGCAGAACTATGCATATGCTCAAACAATACATCATTACGACAGACGTCTAATTGAAGCATAGTCACAGTTGCTAAATGTGACTCCAGAATGGCAGAATAAATGTCCCTAACATAAATTACTGACTTGTGCATATACAGAAATCTGCAGATACAAAGATTGAACAAGCGAGTCTGTCTCAGGATGAGAATAGCAGCCAAGCAGAGGATGACGAAGACCTGGAGGTTTTGCGTTTGGCTGCTTTACAGACGAAGAAACTGTCAGCCTTCACAGTAAGCTCTTATAATCCTGTAACTGTATTCTGCAGATTCATTGAATATTCTGTTTTCATGGGCAAGTTCACTGTCCTTTAACGATGGGTAGCACAATGAAACTGAGATAATTTTGAAATTTTGTAACCTTTGCGTGTGCTGTTTCATTATATCCATTGAATATTAAGGTCATGTTTAAAAATGTGACCATATAAAAAATCCTGGGATTAACAACTGTCTGGAAGCCTGGCCTACATTCTTTACAATGTTACATCTCGCTTCACAAACTTTAATAGGCCTGTTGAATTTCATATATCTTGCAAATGAGACCTGATTAACTCATTACATAGACCCATGTATATGTTAAAGGGCTGTCTGTCTGGTGTTCATCTGTCACTATTGACCAATCAGAATGGTTCTCTGGCAGTCTGACATTACTGACCAATCAGAAAGCAACATTTACAAATCTCGCAATTGGCACCACGTGATATATTTGGCTTCTGAGGTAATAAGTGCCTGCTAAACAATGAGTAGTATACTACCTCAACTTTGACTTAAAACTTTCGTGACTGCAGGAATTCATATTCTTTGGTTCTTTCGGTAAAGTCACGTAGACTAAAAAAACGGTAATGTTGACAATTTTTTGTATTTACTGGACTTTACCGAAAGAATCAAAGATCATGAATAGTATACTACCTGCTAGATAAAGCATGCTTATTGCACTTAATAACGCTGCTTATACGATGCAGTACGTATATGCAGTACTGTTGCAGCTCGTATTTATATTTTTTGGACATAGTAATGTTTTGAGTGTTTGCGATGTGTGTGCTCAGTGTGGGTGAGTGGTAAGCGTCAATAGGGCCAGGTGATTGGTGTTTCACAATGTTTTTACTTTCTCAGATTTTGGATTGGAAGTGTAACTGATTCAATAACCTGCGCTTACAATTATTGTCATGGGGTCTTTGCTATTTCCTGCTAAGCCGATGGTGCATATTCTTAATGTAGACATTACCAGACAGGTATGATGGAACTGGTTTTAAACTGACGTATTATCACGATGACCATTAAAGCTGTCCAACTTACTATTACTTTTAATTTCTTTGCTTTATTACATAATGCAGCAATAATGGGAAGTGTTTAGAAATTTCCCACTGAATGCTGCTACAAGCGGAAAAACAAAAACGTCAGTTTCTCTACAGCAGGATTTTTATAATTTGTAAAAAAAATGTTTTTTGTTTAGGGCACTGAAACAGAAGATGATGCTACCTATTTGCCTGCAAGTCCCGATGAAAGACTAGAAGTGTATCCTAAGCGGAGTAACTTGATAGTCATTCCTCTCGTCTACACTGAGACGGATCTCCAGACAAATCCACCCCTTGGCGGAGAGTGCAACATGAGCGTGAATGAGCGCCTGCCTCATCACATCGTTACAGAGGTGGGTTTAAGGAAACATCACCAAGAGTTAAACACAGCGATTACATTATAAGCAACTAAATTTTATTACATGCTTCTTAATTGTACGCTCTGATTTACAGAATGCTCTACATATTTTAATTAGATCACTATTTGGTAGGGTTTGCGACAAGTTATATTTTACTAGATGCTTGACTGAATTCAGCTCAGATGAAGGCCGCTTGTGTTGTGGCCGAAACGTCGTGAGAATATTATTGTGTTATTTTATTTTATCAATTTATTATTTTATTCTCATTCTACGTGACTTTACCGAAAGAACCAAAGAAGATGAATCCTTGCAGTCACGAAAGCTTTAAATAGAAATTCAGCTCTGGAAGTTTGATGTTAAAACACATGGATTTTGCTCTGTTATCTATTTAGCACCATTGAAAATAAGTTGCAATACAGTAAAACCTTGGATTGCGAGCATAATTCGTTCCGGAAACGTGTTTGTAATCCGAAGCACTCGTATATCAAAGCACTCGTATATCAGTTGTGATCACGTGACGCTCGGCAGACAAAGACCTCGCTCGTTTATCAAATTAATATTTAAAAAAAATTCTCGTCTTGCAAAATACTCGCAGACCAAGTTACTCGCAATCCAAGGTTTTACTGTATAGGAAAAAGGCAATAGACTGGCAGTTGACCATTTCATTTCAATATTACTACAGGTTGAAAATGTAACTAACGTTCCGCGTTTATTTTATTAATATTTTTTGCACTACATGCACATTTATTTACATTTATTGAAGTAAATATAAAAATGATGAAGGTTTTGTGCTCATTGCATTTTGTTTTAATATAAATACACGAATCTGAGGGGGAAAAACGGTAATGTTGACAATTTATGCCAGGGGTGGGGAACGTCTGGCCCGCGGGCCGTATGAGGCCCGCGAAATAATTTGGTCTGTTCCAACCATCACATTAGGGGTGAGTTACTTAAATGTTTGGCCAAATATAACAGGCTAATTTTAAAGTTGATAATTTTGTATGGCCCGCGAATGATGTTATAAATGTCCAAATGGCCCTTGGCGGAAAAAAGGTTCCCCACCCCTGATTTATGCAATCAAAATAACCATTCATGAGGTTTGCTTATTTCTAAGATTGCAAGTGCTTGTTTACGTGCATTGTTTCCCGTTATGAAAATGGGATTCACAGTCATTTAGGTGGGAAAACAGTGAATTTAGTAAAAATGTTAATCGATTTTTGTAACACTGTTATGACATACAGCTATTTTCAAGTTTCATGGAGTGCATTCTTTACGCTGTGAAATTGATGGCTTTTACAACACAAATATATGACAACAAAAGAGGATTCCAGTTCCTGCCTCTGCCCTAGTATTCATTTTCATTTCAACCAGTGTAGCTAATACATAGTGACATTCCTCGTCTGATGTAAATATATTTTAAGGGTGATGATTGCAACAAAGTAACTTAGTGTTTTGGTTGAGATTTAAAAGTTTATGTTGACATAGCATGCGCAATGTGTAAAATTGCACAGGGCTTACATGAGTTGACTTAACATGGGGAGGATTTAACAATGAAATCGAAATATGCATGTCATTGCAGGGTGCTGAAGTGATGGGATCCCCACAGCAGTCAAAACGGGATGACAAATTCAGTCGCTTTGAATCTGACAGTGACTCGGACAATGAACAAAGCCAGTCGGAGTCAAGTTCGGATGAGATGGAAGACTCGGGAAACCAATCGGAAAAGGGTTCTTACAGGTCAGATACTTCTGATTCTGAAGAGGATGCATGTCAAGGATTTTCAAGGGAAAATAAAGATTATTCTGCAACTACTGATGCTGATATGAGCACAGGAATATCCAGTGCTGAAACTATATTAGAAAATAAGTCGCCAGTAGGTGATGCTTCACAAAGTATGAATACAGTGCAAGAAGAAATGATTGCTGAAGCTCTTGAAAGATCTGATAAAAGCCCAGCACATTATGTAGAAGATTCTCATATTTCTAAAACATCACCAAAAGAAAACTCTCCCTGCAAGAATTCAAAAGATGACAGAGTGGACAAAAAGTGTCCGCATTCAGACGTGCATCGGCCATTGTCATCTTTGTCACCTGGCAAGGAGAATCTTTGTGGCCACACAAAGGATGACAGTTCATCACAGCGTAAAAGTAAACATACATCGGCCAGTGACGAGGATGGTAACAGCTACAGTGAGTCATTGAGATTTAATGAGTGTTCGGACAGAGAATTGGGTTCATCTAGTAAGCAAACCAGGCATCCTCATTCATCACATAACATTTTAGATAGGAGGAAACATGAAGTAAGCAACAATTTACAAAGAAGGTCTCATTCTCAATCACCTTTAAGGTTTTGTGGCAGGGAAAAAACAGAGGGCAAAACATATTCTCGAGAACGATCGAGGTCTCGCTCCCCATTGCATGCCTTTCATTTAACATCCAGCAGAAATACCTTTTCAGAGGATGACAAAGGTCAACAAGGATATGATTTGCTTTTGTCCAAGAAAAATGCTCATGCAATTGTCATTGAAAAAGAAAAGGAAGATAGTCAAAAAAATAGGTATGCGGAGCTCATCCCACTTCCCGATGAAGCCACACTGGCAGCAAGAAGGAGAAAGTTTGAATGTCAGGAGGTGAATGTCAGCTCTGCTGAAGTGAAACGTATTTCCCTAAAACACATAAAATTAAAAAGAGAAGTGGACAACGAGGCTGATGCATCAGTATATCCAGTTTTTAAAGAAAACCAGGATGGAGAGAAAAGGTCAATTGAAAAAAAACAAGATAATTGTTCAGAGGATCACAGTGGACGTTCAGTAATGGAAAATCTGTCAAGCGCAAAGGATAATGGCATTTATAATGACAGATATCCTGATAGTGATGATTCAGTGCAGCGAACAAAAAGAGAGAAGTCATTTGAAAAGAGAACAAATAATTCCAGGGGAACTGATGGGCTTGTGGACAAAAGAAATGAGTTTGAGACCTATTCCCAAAGAAAGGAGTTGGATCCGAGAAAACATGACCTGCGAGATGAGAGGGACATTAATGCCAAAATGAGTCGGGTGGATGGAAAGAAATCTCTTCAGGAAAAACTAATGTCTCTGGCTTATGGTGGCGTGGACAATGATGCAAATCAGATGGAACATTTTAAGAACAGAGATGAGGTCAATGAAAACAAAAAAAAGTCACTGAAACACAGGCTTGGACCTTTGAAGGAAGACTGCAAAAAATCTGTCTCTGGACCATCAAGAGAACACGAGAGAACATTTAATGCAAATGATGATGTGCCTTATGACCCCATCGCCATTTTAAAAAGTGTCATAAATGATAAGAAAGGCACGATCAAGCAGACGTCAGTGCAGTTGGAGAGATACAGGCACAGGATGGAAAAAAGAGACTCAGTGCCACGAGAAGATAAGGTGAACACAAGGAGCCAGAGTCCAGATAAGGATGACTCTCATGCCAAAAGCAAGAGGAGAGAAGGCAAGACTTCTAGCAACATGGAGCGAAAAGTCCTCATCATGGAAGGTATTGTCACTGTGCTCCCTTAGAAACACTGAGGTGTGGTAATTTTAAGAACAGGGTGTGTTCATAATCTTATTTTATTGAGGCTACATGAGGGAGATTGGATAACTAAGTGGTCCTTTGGGAGGAAATACAATTTATGTTTAGGGGGAAGTGAGGAGGGCAGGTCACAAGGCAGGTGGTGTCACAAGGCTGGCAGATGCAAAGTGCGAATTAAACCAATTTATAATTGCACTTTGGTCAGAAAGGCAACTGCCATTGAGCAAAGTCTTGGTGGTACTCCATATCCAATATGTTTTACCTTCAAGGGTCTTTATGGCTTTCCAGAAAATTTTGGGTTTATCTTTTGGGCCAAAGGGGGTAGCCTGAAAATGATGGTGTTTGGGCTGCAGCAGTTCCTTAGGCCTGTAGTTGCTCCAGTTTGAGTCTAAACCTGTTGGCTTAGTAAGTTTCCAATCTGCATTTCTGGAAAGGATGAACTGGGCAATTGTTTGTATTGAACCAGGGGGCTTGATTTCTCCTGGAGCATGTTTGTCAACTATAGATTGCAAGGTCTTTAGGTTGGTTGTCCAATATGGGAATCTTACATACATAAGGGAAATCAGAATTAACAATGCCGAGATTGAAGGCCTGATACTAAAATTAATTCAAAGAGCGTTTAAATGTAAAATAATGTGGAACTTGAAGCAGATGCATGTGTCGAATGCCAAATATCATTGAGTGGTCACTTAGATGATTTACCCAGGCACACTTTTACAGACTCTTCTCGAGCGTTTGACATGATGACGTCAAGGATTGATGAGTTATCAGGGGTTTTTTTAATATGAGGACTTGTTGGTGAACAGGTGAGCTGAGATAGGTTGAATACATTTGTGAAGACAAAAGCTTCAGTCTGAAGATTGACCCAGTTCAAGTTTAATCCTTTTTCATCATCTTAAAAAGCTAGGCTGAATTATATTTACCATGCAGCCCTTGCTTAGCGCGACCCCGTAGAACTCTGATTTGTTATGGCGCTCATTGTCCTGGAGAAATTGTTTTACTACAATGAAATGAAAACATTTAAACAGCGCTCATGAGTGAGAACACACGGCAGCGCCAGGCGAGGCAACGTGTACCCCCCATCATTCGCTCAGCCAATGAGAGTGACGTACGCTGAGCCAGTCAGACCCCCCCCCCCCCCCAGGAATTGATCATGATGATTATCATGAGTGGTGATCATGATTACATTTAAAACAAAATCTACCCCCCCCCCATGTTAATTTAGCCAGGTGAGAACTCACGAGACCAGGATAGTGTCAGGTTCCACCTAAAAGAAACCTCACCACAACGTTTGACTGAGGGCATCACTAAGACCGGCATTGGGAGCGCAGCAGCTCCAACCTCATCTCCCGCCGCTGCCTTGCAGGAGTACAATAGATAGCACTCGTGAGTACAGCACGAAATTCGATTGTTATATATTTGTTTATTCATTAAATAATGTTTGCCATCTGTATTGTTATTATTAGTGCTATTACCAATACCCCAGTGAAGCGCTCATATATTGCTCATACGAAAGATATAACGCTGCCGGGAATGCATCCTCATATATGCAATGGTATGATTACACCTTTGTAGCACTGATTTTGATGAGCGCCCACTTCTCCAGAAATGCATCTTGAGCGCTAAAGCGAGGTCTGCCTGCCAAATCGTGTTTTCTTCTCGACGTAATAGTATGTGCTCGAGGTAGAAACACGTTTTCTAAAACCAGCATGCTAACATGGTTGGGTGGCCATTAGTTTGTCTTCATCAACCTTCGTGCACAGTTTACATAGGTGTGGTAAGAGGCTGATGATTCTATAACTATCCCAAAATCTGTTTTGTCTGTTATCAATGGAAAAATTAAGGATATTTATACGGTTGAGGCGTTTATTCTCTTGTGTAAAGGAAATATTTAGGACATGTATCTACTGGTTGTGAGCCAAGATGTGCGGCTGAATTTTTTATGATCGCCACAGTGTTATCCCATCTGGTCTGAAAACCTTTCTGTTTTGCATAGAGTGAAGGGCATTGGTTATCTCTTCAAGTGTGACATCTACAATGTCCTCACCTGAAGCATTTGTCATGATTTTATTTGAAACGATCTGTAAAGCTGTGGAAGTAGGATATTTATGATTTAGAAATAAAACCAGACAAACGACTGTAGTAAACGTTATTTAAGGTCCAATAAAACATGTCAAGTGTAATGTTTGAAAGGGTTATGATCGATGAAAATACATTCTTCAAATAAACAAACTCACGGTTATTAAGTTGTGTTATGCAAAAGGATAGGAATAATTATTAACTATTGTTTTGTATATTATTACAAGCAAGGTAACGTGTGAAACTTTGAATGGCATTTCCTGTAAGGGTTTAATGCAAGAGTACATGATGATGGAGGAGTGGGCTTCTGTTTTGCGGCACTGCATAATGTAGTTGTGTAAATTATGAGCAGTGGGGGTGGTCAGCCGTCTCAATGAAGCTTATCTCGAATAACCTCCTCTTACACAGAAATGTATAGCGATCAATGATTTCAACTACAAATTAGTACAAACTTTACATGCAGCGTTTGGGCATTAAGCGCAGACGTAAGATTACTGGGGCTGTTAATGGTGTGTATTTGGTGCGTATGACTTGAACTGTGATTGTCTCTTCTTCAGGGGAGGAGGAGTCACTCCAAAAACGTCTGCCAGTGCACCTGCGAATTGGTGAAGTCAAGCAGCACATAACTGTAAAAAAAACATTTGATTGTTTAGTGCAGCAAAGCAACTCCAAAGGGTCGTATCAAACGGAAGGAGGAAAACAAAAGCAGCAAGAGGAGCCAGCATCAAGCGAAGGTGGAAGCTGGGAAATGTCAAAGCGGAGCAGAAATAATGAGCCTGTTTCAGGATTGGCTTCACAAATATCTGTTCCCCATAGAAAAGAGAAGGCCGAAGCACAAAAGGATGTTTCGGCAGACAAAGAGAGTGAGCTTGATGAACGAATTCGGAAAATCCAAGAAAAAAATGCAGAAATTCTCCGTCGAAAGCAGGAGATAGAGGCAGACAAGAAAAAATATGGCTAAGAAGTGAAAATATAAATCCGTTTTTTTTTGCGATTGCTGTTAAATTATTATGTGATTTTATGTTGATAGTAAGTATCGAGATATGAGCTAATTGATAAAAGACCAAAATGTTATCCAGTTTATCTGAAATGTGCTGATTTACGCTGAGAAAAATACCTGGTTAAAGTTTACCACTATATTTGTCAGGTTAATAGTGCACTAAAAATAACAATAACTGTTTTGACAATGGTGGAATATGTAGGGGGTCTTTGTGAAATGAAACCTTGACAAACTCCATGGCCATTCAGTGGCTTTTTATGTATTTTGAGTAACATTAAATGTGCAAAAGAACACGCACACACAACCACGGATTGCCTTTAATTCTAGCAGGATATCTGCCCACTGTTGACTTGTCTTTTTCAGTTCAGTCTGCCTTTTGACACAATTAAATGTGTACATTAATTTGATTTCAGTCCACCTTGTAACTTTTTGCAGTGCCACAAGTTTTGTAGGTATGTAATAAATGAAACAAACCTCAGGTCTAAAGCCAATTACGTGATTTATTGCGTGTTGTTTTGGCATCTACACTTGGTGAAACGCAAATTACCATCTGCTAAGTCACTGATGGTGATTTCAATGCAGAATATTGCTCAATAACTAATCCAGTCTTTATGGTACTGGTGTTGACATTGCCAATTTTTGGGCAATAACTTTAAAAATACTGCTTATATAAAAAAAATCTCGTGTTACAAGGAGATGTCAGAAGGTGTTGATATTGTAATATAAATCAAATACAGAAAATATTTCTTAATGTATAAAGATCTGTAAAAAATATCACTGAAATGAAGCCATGTTTAGGTATTTTCCTTGTGTTCGTGGCGCTTTAGCAATCAGTTTTTACTTGTACATGTTTCACATGTAAATATATGCGCGTGTAATAAATAGGTTCCCTTTTTCCACAATGAATTTGTTTGATACCTTGCTATTGCAGAAGTTCTACTGCTGTGTATTGTATGTATGACCTGTGAGTGCACAGACTACATTGTATTAAAAAAAATTTGATTATATCATAAATTAGTGTAGTGCTGTATTGACAATTTCTAGTATGCCCATTATGCTTCGATAAACAACATTAAATACTGTAGGTTATATGTTTGTGGGCCTATGGTGCTACCAGTATGCACACAACCACACAAACTTGCATACCCTGAGTTAATGAATACTGTACATGTGCGACTATATCTGCTTTGACCAATTAACCGTCGACACCCAGTGCATTGTGAGACGTTCACAAATTAGAGTTTCACGCAGTCATTGTATTAATCTCGCATACTAAACCACAACAAAACATTCCCATGTTTAAAGTAGTTTTGTCTACCCAGTAACCCATTTGTACATAGTGTAAATCATCTTAGAAATATGTTCATATATCTGACCTCTTTATATTTCGGCTTGTGCCTCAGTCCCCATTGAGTTAGATATGTGCCGGACATGCTGTACAGTACTTTGAATAACTTTCTTGGAGCACGTGGTAAAGCTCTACTGGACCTCAATGGAAAGATAGATGAATTAAAGCAAAGGTGCGCCACTGTGACTCAACGGAAGATCAAAGTGGATGTTTGCAGAGCCAACAAAAATAAGTCATGTCCGTTGTTTGCAAAGGTAACTCTGAGATTGTAAAGTCATGCTTTAAATATAGCAGGAGCAATAATAGTTTATTGCCTTTTGCCTAAGGTCATTTTTTTATTAAGAATAATAAAATAGTACTTGAATAGATGTTACTAAATTTAAAACCGAGAGTGCACTAATGTAGTCAACACAGTAATCATGGTCTTACTATATATAGTGTTGTACATACTGATGTATAGGATGTTGAGAATATGCAATCTATGTTTGACGTTGCCACAATGTATGATTCATAGTTTTGTCAGATGTATCTTGCCAAGAGATGCATAAAGTACTATCGTACAGCTGTGAATTCACAACGGCAGTCTTAATCGGTTATGCTGGCTTATTAACATGCGCTAAAAGATGGAACCATTGCAAGTATTTGCGGTGGGATTGGCATTTCAAGATCCCCAACAGTTAGACGTGGGGAATTAAGATTCACACTGGGTAGTATTTTTGTAGGAAATGTGTAAACCCAGCAAAATGTCATTTGAGTCTTAGCAAGCACGTGAGTTGTGGGGTCTGATATGTATGGGTATGGCAGTACAAGTATTTGAGTTTACACAACATAGTCTTTAAGGCACTTAGGTAATACAGCATGATTATCTTTACATGCTATGACAACCCATGCTGAAATAGCACTAGAGTTTCATTTGCAAGTAAAAGCTATCTGTTAACTAAGTTTGATAGATATGCAATAACGCTGGTGGTGAAATGGTGTGTTCTCTGCCTAATATGTACAGTCAAAATATTTTAGTAGCGCTCAATGGTATCAATAAACAGTAAAAAAATAAGCTGTGCATGTTTTCACGCCAGAACATTTGGAATATTGTTCTCTAAATAATGCGTGAACTTTTCTCCTTTTAAAATAAAATAAAAGTCCGATGCTAAGAAATGTTATTTTAGCGAAGCTAATTCATTAACACTGCCACAAGCAATTCAATAACAAAACAAGGTTACCTTCCAAATATAGGTCTCGGTGGACAATGCTATTCATAATTTAGCCACAATTAAGTTCAATAACTAAAGTAAAAATACATTCGGCACAAAGTTAAATACAATTATCACGGTCTGAAAATTGTGATAATGCATCATGCATATGTACACCAATTAAGTACAATATACGCCACGTGTATAGTTTCACAATCCCTGGGGTACATTTCCTTTTCGCAATTGAACAAAACCACTACAAAAAGTGCATATTAAAAAAACGATGCTAAAATGTTATTCTCTTTCAAGTCTCCATATTCGTACGTGTTACCAAGGTGACAAACACCACAGACTATTGATACCTGTACACACCGACCCAGCAAAAGCACGTGCTAACATAGAGGTGAAGGAAGGTATATTGTCTATTCTTCAAACTGAGCTGGTTTTTTCCTCGTGTTCTTCCACAATGCCCAGGATGTTAGGCGTGCATAGTGAACAGCGCGCCGAGTGATGACGGAGTGCAAATAAGGGTTTCAGTTTCAGACGTCGGCTTTCGGGACCCATATCGATAATAGACGTTTGGGTTCGATCGCGCGAATGCATACATTAACCCCTCCTCCCCCTCTGGCCTTCGTACCTGATTGGCTCACAAGTGATGACATCACACTTATCCGTCTAAAAACGAAACAGGAGGATGTATCCACAACTCTGGCTGTCGCCTTATGATGCTGGTTGTAATTACTGGCGAAACGTACTCGGTGGGTTTACTCTCCCAACACACCGGTGTGATGTACTAGTCACGAATTGGCACGTTTTGTTTACGTGACAAACCTTACTAATTGGCTGTGTCGGGTGATGGTGGATTTACGCGATCCATAACCCAAACAACCTCTATTAAGGGTTACAGTACAGTGTTTGGGAGAGAATACAATCGATTCTGAGCTGACGACGCATACCGGCTTGCGTCTAGTTGGGGCATGTGCAGTGCTGGTGTGAGCATACCACAGCGTAAACACAAATAGTTGCAAAGTTCAGATTTAGAAATGATGGCCGTGTGTGCCGATTTGCGTTTCTCGTCGCCACCACTGTTGACTTGCTGTAGTAGTACGTACTGTTCTATTGCTGCTGCATGCATGCCCTTGTTATAGCTGCTGAATTTATTTCTTAGACGTAACCTTTCCTTCACTGCATGGTCCTTTTTCATGAGATCACTGCGGAGACGTTTCTCACCAGTGCAGTCGTAAATGACCCATTAGCTCGACTGGTCACATGTTTGAAGCTAATCACCATTTCAGCCCAGCCATTATTGTATATCATCATGGGATTGGCCTAAAGTAAGTAAATCCTGGGGGTACATTTTCAATAAAGGTTTTAATGCTTCCACGTATCCACGTAACACAAAGCAGACCTGCTGCTGAGCAGTATATGTTATCTCCTTTGAAGCGTTTTTGTTGTTGTTCGTGGCACCAAGTGAGATGTTGCGTTACCATGGCAATGCACATTCATTTCTGTTGCTACCACCCCATTGCTGGTTCCATGGTGATTGGGCTTCCGCATCTCGACAGCGAATTATCATTTGTACACCTACATTTTTATTAATTTATTAGGAATATAAATTGCACTACGTAACTAATATATACCCAGCCCCGCCCTAAAATAAAACAAGATTTAAATTTCGATTTAAAGCTTTCGTGACTGCAATGATTCATCTTCTTTGGTTCTTTCGGTAAAGTCACGTAGAAACGTCGTGAGAATATTATTGTGTTATTTTATTTTATCAATTTATTATTTTATTCTCATTCTACGTGACTTTACCGAAAGAACCAAAGAAGATAAAACAAGATTTAGCTGTTTTTCAGGAATTTACCCTCTTTAATAGCACACAAATAAGGACCCAGTGGGCCTAAACATCACCTATTTTTTTCCCCTTTTAAGGCAAGTTTTGACGAATGTGTTGAGGATTTATTTTAATTGCTTGTGCTACAATGCCAATACGTTATCACCAAATTATTAGTTACATTTACACCGAGTAGAATACATTGAGTGGATTAACCCTGAGTGCATACGAGAAGCAGTACAGTTGTTGGTGATGCTTTTGAAAGCCTTCTAACCGTGTATGGATAATATGGATTGGATGCCATGAACAGTGGACTATACTCACAGAGCATCTACTATAATTTTAACCGTGAAGTGCTCTGGAAATGTCATATGTCTGCACGGTCCATTTTTTTAAAAGGCAGCATGTTACATTGCTGTGATCTCGACGCCAGAATTGTTTAGGTGTTCATCAGTGAACACTGTGATAAGCCACGTGCTAGCTGCTAGTGGTGTAAAGAACGTCAATGTTTTTTTTTATCTGGTGCCCCGAATTTCGATTTAAAGCTTTCGTGACTGCAATGATTCATCTTCTTTGGTTCTTTCGGTAAAGTCACGTAGAATGAGAATAAAATAATAAATTGATAAAATAAAAAAAATATTTTATTCTCATTCTACGTGACTTTACCGAAAGAACCAATGAAGATGGTGCCCCGAAGTTTAGTGGTTGTACGACGCAAATAATAAGAACCAGATGCTGCACAGGGATTGACTCTTTCACACTTCATGAGCGTACTTTGTATACTAGAGCGACATCGCCATCACCAATCGCGGACACTGCGATGTCACCACACAGTGCGTGTCTCGTAGCACTCAGAAGCTCGTGTGAACTTGATCCAACAGTGCCACACAAAAACCACTGGCCGACCAGTGCGCATCCCATGTCTCAGTGTTTTCAATTCACCTCTTTCTACAGAAAATCCATAGGCACGAGATTAAAACAAAATAGACGCTTCGTATTCTTAGCTCTTTCGGTAAAGTCACGTTGAAGGGAAACAATAAAATAATAAAATATATATAACAATAAAATATATTTTATTATTTTATTGTTTCCCTTCGACGTGGTAAAGTCACGTTGAAGGGAAACAATAAAATAATAAAATATATATAACAATAAAATATATTTTATTATTTTATTGTTTCCCTTCGACGTGACTTTACCGAAAGAGCTAAGAATATGAATTACTGCAGTCACGAAAGCTTTAAATCAAAAATAGACGCTTCGTCTGTGATTAATGGGCGCGCTACCGTCGCGAAAGTCGGTCGCGAAAGTCGGACGCGACCCGGATGATTTGGGATTGGCAGCCGCGCTCGAGTTTGGGATGGTGGGGGAGTGGTGCGATGCGGCCTGGACCACGTCCCCCTCCGCTGCCATTCCGGTTGCCCTCGCTGCTCTTCACGGGGCATCATTCTGCTTGTGCTGCACTCGCCCTTCCCTCCGCTTCGCGTGCTGTGTGCCGACCTTGCGCGCTATATCCATCGCGGCGCGGTCG